TTGCACATTCTGAATGTGTATTATTTTGGCTATAAATCACATGGAGCTATTTTAACTCCAGCTAATTTCCTTTTAAAACATTTTTACATGTTGGTTTTTTGTCAGAAGTGATTCCTAAGCAAAATACATAAGAGCAAGGCAACAACAACAAAAACACAACTACAAAATGAAAATTAACAAGCAATTTAAGAGGTGGCCTGTATCTAAAGGAGTATTGAGCTGTTGCATCAAAAGCTCTGCAGAAGGGTCCTGATTGGCTTTTCAACACACAAAAGACAACAAAGCAGACTATAGCTGTTATTTTTTATAATGTTTCACTTCTTTGTTTAATGCTGTACATCTTTTTTGTATTGTTTTAGTATTGGGAAAAAGGAGGGGGAACAAATAGAAAGGAAACAAGGAAAAGAACAGTGGCATAAGATGCTATATATAGGAAATGATTCAGCCTAATTTTTAAACACCTCATTAAACCTTGGCCACACGGAATAATATTGATAAGTTTTTCCATGACATCAGAAGAGAACCAAGTCATAAGCAGAGAGCAAACACATACGGCAATCCAAGATTTTAAATCTTGCGTCACACTATCTTTCCAATATTGAGGAATAGTTTCTTTTGCTGATCTCCATTTGCTAAATCCATAATTCTTCATTTCATGAAATTCTAAGGTCTGTGTATATAATTAAAAATACATTCACTTCTTTAACCTGTATTGAACTTTGTAACACCATATTATGGATATTAAACCAAAACAGGACAATAATAGGACAAGCTTATACCATATCAATAATTCTCACTCCCAGATTTTACACTTCCAGGTTGACAGCCAATCCCTTTTAAACATTCTCTGGGATGTCTCATAAATGAATTAGTCTCATCTTGAGTTCATAACAAATATACTTAATATTTTTAAGACCCTTAACCATCAATTTGTTAACATGGAATATTCCAACTTGTTTTTGTGAGATGCTCCTTAATTGATTATAATAACATTATAGCTTTAGAATAATCCAAAATGCATTCAAATACTGGTAGTAATTTTAGAGTTTTATTTGATTAAGTGCCATCAATTGTATTGACTGTTAGCAACCACATAGTTTCCTCAGAATAATCTGGTCATTGGTTCTTCGTTAGAATTCAGTCTTTATTTATTGATTGAAGAATTTTAGTCACTGCTAATGCATCTGGAACAAATGTGAAATAAATATTTTAATAGAATATACTGCTATTTTGCAACTTTAGGCAATCCAAATTCTTCTTGCACTAACTCAAATAAACAATTGAATGGCAATAAGATCATCTTAAGTATTATTATGCATACTTGCCTATGATTTTTTTAAAAAAAGACTTACCTGCAGTTTTCAAACAGATTCACCCTAGAATGTGCATTACATGGATAAAAGTCAAAATTATACTTCTGTCCTAACATCTTTCAAATATGTCTTGCAGCCTTTAATGCAGGAAATGTAATAGAGATATAACTGAAAATAGGCAGCACTGAAATCAAATCAAAGAAATAAATATGGAGCCAAGCCCAAAGATGTCAAAGAGTAATAACTCTCTAATTGTACTGTAGTGTTTGTTTGTTTTACTTGATTACTAGTGTTCCGTAGAGAGATTGAACTCAAAATATAGGCCTAAGGAGAAAGTTAAAACATTATCATCATATGAGAGGCATAATTTATACAAAGAAAATCTAGGGGTTTGTCAGTCCCATTAAAAATATTAATATCAATCTGCTTAAAATAACTTGAAGGAATTAGCATAGAAATGAATTCAAGTAAATATGTAAGTGTTGAAGTAATATTCATTTTAACACCACTTAGCATTTATGATAGACATAGTTGGATTTTAACCATCTGTTTAAGTTTATCTTGATCTGAGATTTTAAAAATTGATATATGAATGCCCTCAGATGAAGAAAGCTTCCTTGGAAAAGTACTTCTAGATATAGTATGTAAAAGAATTCAAACAGTTTGGGGTCAAATCCAGCCACTAAGTGTCCCCTGTTTCTCTAATAAGCCATACTAATGGATTCAATATGAAATTAAATGTATATGGAGATAAAGGACATTGTTGACAGATTCCATATGATACCTTGATAGGTGGATTTGATCTGATCTGATCTGATCTGATCTAATCTAATCTAATCTAATCTAATCTAATCTAATCTAATCTAATCTAATCTAGGCACTGCCCGATTCCAAAGTGACCCTGGTCACTGTATAATAAAGCCAAACAAAATAGAAAATAAATATAATAAAATTATAAAAGAGAACAAGAACTGATGGCGAATCTGTCTGACAACACCTGCACCTCCAAAGAAATCCAGCAGGGGTCCAGCCACCCTAACCCAAGACCTAGAACAGTGTTGTCCAAACTTGGCCACTGTAAGATGAGTGGACTTCAACTCCCAGAATTCCCCAGCCAGCACTGGGCTAGAAGAACACCCAGGTCTTTAAGGCTTCTGGAATGCCATCAGAGTGGGAGCCACAGGGGTATCAGCAGGAACCTCATTCAGGAGGGCAGGCACCGCGACAGATGAAGAGATAATTCCATTGGTTATTTATCTATTTATTTATTCCAAGACTTACAAGGCCGCCCAATTCAGACAGTGTGACTCTGAGCAGCATACAAAATAAACACACAATAAATTAGGGTTAGGGTTAAATTAATTTACACAATAAATTAAGAAGAGGAAGAAGAGGAGGAGGAGGAAGAGAAAGAAAACAATAAACAGACAATATATAAATAGAAAATGTAAAATGGCAACCAAGCACACACAAAACAACCACTGGTAGGGGGGGGGCTTGCACTGAGCCATTCAAATAAATAGTTATTTAGTGATAACTTTCACAAAGGAAGTAGAGTCCAACTATTTGTCCAATTAATTAAAAAAGGAAGAAATAGATATTTAGGGAACGTTTTCCACTACATCATATCAAAGGCCTATTCTACATCCAGTGAAACCACCAGCCATTGATTTCAGTTTTTCTGAATGTATATCAGAATACATTGAGTAATCTAATCTGAATAATCTAATATTATCAGATGTTTGGCAACCCTGTATAAAACTAGATTATTCAAGACAGATAAAACCCTGTATAAAACTAGGTTATTCAAGACAGATAACCGATAATATCATTTGAAATTTAGATGCTTGGGCTGCTGTCAGTGTTTTTGTGTCCATGTTTAACAAAGAAGTTGGACAGCATGAACAGCAACATGCATAGTCAGTGGGATCTTTTCCAGCCTTTAAAATCAGATTTACATGAGTCTTACTGAGCCTAGTAAAGCCTTTGTAACTTTATTTACAAAGACATCATTATTGACCTCCAATAGTATTGGAGCAAAAAATTCAGTATATACCTTAAAACACTCAGTGGGGCACCATATATTTTGGGATCTTTTCTTGTTTGCATACATTTAATGATGTTTATTATTTTTGGAGACTTAAAGGTGTGACTTAAAAGGCAGCCTAATCATGAATAATCTTAGGAAGAGCTATATAATATAAATAATCATTTGACTTGGTACTGTAAGTTGGGGAATAAAAAAACAACTGTTGATTTATTGAGTCAGAATTAATACTCCTTTAATTAAGAGTCCTTAATAGTAAACATTTGTATGAAAACAGGTTCTTGTATAGATATGTTTAATAGGCACTTCCAAAACATTCAGCAGGTACATACTGCCCCACCTTTGCAAAAGACACCTCCTCCTGTTTAACTGGGAAGAGCATGAGAAAAAAATCAGAACCTTGCTGCCTTGATTTACCTAAATATAGATTTTTCATAGGGTACTCATTGGAATTTTTTGGTTGTTACTTTAAATTGTTCCTAAGAAATCTCACTAAGTAGAGCTCTGAGATACTTGTTCTCCGGTTTAACTGATTCTGGTTCAGGTGGCTACAAGGGAAGTCTGACAAGCAGGTCTATTCAAAATAAGACTGTGTTTAACCATGACTTGGTGATGATGAGCAAGTGGATCTGGCAAATATTACTGAAATCCGGTTGGGTGATAGCACAGATATGGCCCTTTCAGAGATACGCCCACTCAAATTTTTGTCCTATAGCAGCTATGATACCAAGGCCAGGGAGAAATGTTGATGATGATTTTGAGAGACAGTTTGGCTTGACCATGAGTATGTTCTTAGGAGTGGCAGTTGGGCCGTAAGGACAGGTTGGGCATCTGGCTCCTGTGCCAGCAGCCCAGCTGCACTAGCAGGATCCTGAGGTCCTAGACACCATTATCAAGCTGGTGTTGAGTCCTCCCAACTACTGATTCAGAGGACTTTATGTGCTTTGGATGGATTCTGGAAAGGCTTACTTGTTCATGGCCTCTGTGGCAGCTAAGGGTTCGTCCAGATAGTCTCTAGCCTGATGCACACAGATAGTCATGTGTTTGACTTTATTCTTGCCTCAGAGCAATTAATACATGTCCCAAAGCTGGAGGTCATTACTCTAAATCTTTTGCTGTGGTTGGATCATTTCTGGTCCAGTTGAGGTTTGTTACTATCTAGGACTTTTCTGGAGGGAAGGACCAATTAAGATAGTCCACCCTCAGTGTCTTATGGATCCTGATATATTCTGAGGCCCTGCCAGTTTCCAGCTGAGCTATCAGATTTTTAACTTCTGACACTGCAGCTGAGGCAGTTATTTCAGTCGAGAGCAAACATGAAAACAAGTAGAAGCTAAGGGACTGCCTGATATGTTATAAAGCATGTGAGGAAAAGGTCACCTCAGGGGAATGTGGCATGCATTGAGATAGCCTGCTACAATACACTCAGAAAGGGTTGAGTCCCTTGATCTGATAGTATTCATTGTTGCTTAGTGGCTTTTAGAAGAAAGGGAAGACAATGGGTAATTAATAGCGAGATCAAAGAAATTACAGAACAGGCCTGGAAAGAGCTAAAAATTGTTCTTGCAGAGAGATCACAAAGTTCCTGAAGTTACCCAGAGTTGAGTCTGACTCGATGGCACCTGACTAACTTTGCAGTTGCATGGGGAGAATGCTATGGGGAAGTAGTATATCTTTCCAATTCTGGGGACCAGTTATCATGCTAGCACTATTGTTTAGAGGCTTAATTAAAGTGTTGCGAGTTTTAATTGGCATTTGCTAATTTAAGAGTTGCTCTAATTACTTCAGAATTGCTTCTCACAGCTTTGTGCATCACTAGTGTCTCCACAGATTATAAGACTCTAGCCTTCCACAAATTATAAGACTCAGTGGATATTAATTAAAGTAGCTACATATTCTGTCTAATACTAAAGTCACTTTAAATAGCAGTTTCTGAGGAATATGGCACAGAAGACTACGGTCCTTAGGTCTTCTGTGTGTTCTTCCAGGAATCATCTGGTTGGTCTCTGTGGAAAAAAGAATGCTGGACTAGGCAGACCAGTGTTTCTCAACCTTGGCAGCTTTCAGATGGGTGGACTGCAACTCCTAGAATTCCCCAGCCAGCCTT